GGTAATTTTAAATGTCAATGCCGCTTTTTTGTTAACATTGCTTTTGAACTGTATTACGGATTTATCAAATATTTCATCGGCGGAAAAATTTAAGCAATAGCAAACAATCTCCAAGGCGAATTAACAATTTAGTTGCGTTATTTGCATGTATATGGATTTGCTAAAGCAAAAACATAATTTTGTTGCCCCGGGTTATTTTTGCGAGAAAGAGACGAAGTGTTTTGTTCTGGGTCTCGCACCACAGTAGATTTTGGGCTTCGGCGGAATGAAATTGCAACATTTTGATGCATGAAAAAGAAATGAGTAAATTACATTAAAAATGGTGGGACAGTAAGAGTACACTCTGCCATTCTCTTCCCTTGTTTTAAATATATCTTTATAGGGGATTAATTCTTTTATTCTTATATTCACATTTAACAACGTTTTTATATTGAAACTTTATAAAAAAGCAGTAATTTTTTCTCATTCCTAGCATGTGGCGCCTCCCAGTTAAAACAGTAGCATGTTGAAATTACTAATGTTTCTTTTTTTAGAAGAGTAGCGGAAGTACACAACCACAAACCTTATATTCGGTGAAATCTATAATTATTCTTAAAAAGTTATGTGGATTTTTTGTTTTAATATATAACATATCATCACGTGACCTGGCCTTGTGACTATGTATAAAATAACAAAGTTTGTTTAGGTTAACCTGACCACAAGCGAAATGTATAGGTTAACCTGACCACAAGCAAAAAGTATAAACAACATCGTGTGCTTACAGACATGTTGCAGTTTCCCAAGTTGTTCCAAACGCTTCATAACGACCATTAAATAAATAAAATAAATAGATTAATAAATAGACAAATAAATAAATAAATAAATAAATAAATAAATAAATAAAAAATAAATAAAAATATAAATAAATAAGTAAATAAATAAATAAATAAATAAGATAAATAAATAAATAATACATAAATAATAAAAAAATAAATAAAATGAATAAATAATAAAAAATATAAATAAATAAATAAAATAAATAAGTAAATAAATAAGTAAATAAATAAATAAATGCAGTGGTAAGTAAATGAATGATTAACTGATTTAATAAATGAATGAATGAATGATTGATTGATTGGTTGGTTGATTGATTGATTGATTGATGGTACCCATGGTCTACAAGATGCCACTCAGTATTCCTATCTTGGCATTCTTTTAGATGAGCATTTAGATTTTTGTAAAACAGCAAAATCTGTAGTATTAAAGTGCTGGAAGAGCACTTGGTCTCCTTATTGCAAAGTCAAAAAGTCTAGGCTTCATGTCATACAATGTTTACAACAAATTGTACGACAGCATCATATGGCCTGTTATATCATGTGGTGCCTCCATATGGGATACTAAATCTCATTCGTGAATAAACGCAGAGCAAAATCAAGCTATGCAGTTCTTTTTAGGTTTGGGAAAATACACCCCAGCTGCAGCTCTGTTTGGGGAACTTGCTTGGCAACCACCGCACGTGAAACAGTGGGTATCGGTAACTAGGTTGTAGCATAGATGTCGTAAAATGAATAGTGATAGATTGGATTCTTAAGTGTATGCATATTGTTGTACTAGATCTAGCAGTGCATGCAAAAACTGGCTGTTCAACTTTGTAGAACATTTAAACTTGATTAATTTTTCGCATATATAAGATACCTGTAATAAATTAAACAAAACTGAAAGTAGAAATGCAATCAGTGTGAAATGTTGATGTCACAAAATTTTGGCCCTGCAAAAGTATAAAGTATATGGTAAGGAGCCTTATGTCAGTAATTAAGCAGATTCGTGGTATAAGTAGATATTTTTAAGTTTATCTTTAAGTATATCTACATGATTTGTAAATGTCCGGACAATTCCGACAATATATATGCATACAGCATAGATCTGGAAAGCGGTGAGCTGATATGAATTTGACGGCCTTTGGTCATGTTATGATGATATACTAATACCGTGCCAGAATATGTGGAACCTTAGGAGAAATAAATGGCTGATAGATGGATAGTAAATAAATTGCATAAACATTTGTTTATCATCATGCATGCATGTTTATCAATGCTTTTACAACAAGCTTAAATGAAAAATCATATTCCAGACTCAATTATTGACCGGAAACCAATTTTCTATTTTAATCAACAGTGAACTTGACCCTAGGGCGGTAGAAAGCAATCCCAAGTGATATCTTAACATGTAGCTTGCTTTACACTAAGTTTATTTGAAAATCTAATAATTAAGCGGAAACTGATTTATTATTTTTAATAAAAGTGATCTTCACCTTGACCTAGATCCTAGCGGCCTCAAAGTAATCCCAAGCGAGGTCTTAACATAAACTTCCTATACACTAAGTTTCTTCCGATTAGTCATTCTGAACATAAGTTATAAGTTTCTTCCGATTAGTCATTGACATAATTTATTGACCTGAAACCGTCTAGTTTGACACCCGCCCGCTTTAACCAAATCTAATAACCAGAATTTTTAAAATTATATTTTAATTAATTTGATGCTAAACACGAATGATACTGTTAAATCTCAATTTTCGTTTCAATCATATCAGAAAAAAAATGAACGAAAATATAGAACGTGTGAAAGCTAGCTCTCTTTTTAAATCCTAATTATTAAACATGTATGATTATATTTTGTTTCCGCCAAAAAACATTTTGTTAAGACTTTTCTATGTTCTGCAGCATCTGAGTATCAATGAGTCAGTGATCAGACATTGCTGTGAGATACGGAAATCTAATACCACAAACGGCCTGTATTTTATAAACCACACAATGATGTGCAACTTCTTTCTTACATAAGGCGGAGTTATGGTTTAGGTTTATACATGTATATGAACTTGAAAGAACGAGGTTCTGCAAACGTATTCTTATTCAGTATACGAATATGATCATAAAAATTAATACAATGAAAAGTGTTATTTTCTATTTATATTACTCACAATTCGTAAATTTATGAAATTCACATAAATTTGTGCTGATATTTTGTCATATTTTTAACCGTTTTTGCAAAAACTACAATGATATGAAGAAAACAGGAAGGTATTGCATTGATCTTCATTTGTTTAAATGGCCACTGATGACTTTGTCTTGCTGACTTGTAGACAATGTGCCAGTGAATTTGCCCTAGTCATTTTACAAAATCATGACACGTTTTTGACCTTCTACCTTCACTTATCTGGAACCGGATGTGATCAGACTTTACAAGAAGCCGAGCAAGCCCAGGCAGCACAGTCGTGTATTTAAGAGTTATATTTGGAGTTTGACGACATACTTTATTTTCACTCCCACTGCGAAAAGTTATTCCTTTCATGTTTTTATTATGACGCATATAAGTCAAAGTAACCATTTTGCATACTTTCGTTTTCTTTAGCGTTGCCAAGAACACGTCATAACTCAGCAACCTTAATATCGTGAGAGGCACACATAATGTAAAACATAAAACACGATTTAATGGGCGACGAGAAGGCTTGTTATATCAACCCTTTGTCTGATTATGGTTTTTTATTGTAATGGATTTGGTATGCGTAGAATTTGAAGCAGTCCTTTCAAAGTTTAGGGGAATCAACATAATAAAGAATTGAGGTACAAACAGTATTGAGTATGGTAACATCCCGGCTTTATTCTGGTAACAAATGCTTATTACTTCCGGTTCCCGTGCGTTTGAGTCTCATGTTTCATTATGGTTATAGTAAACAAGTTGGGGGTACCTTGTAACTTTGCAGAACACATCTTTTAATATATGCTTTCAAACGAAACGAGAAGCTACGTTGACATAAATATTCAGTTTACTTGTCTATTATACTATGTTCATTGAATCTTGTCACTGAGGGAAACTAATGAGGGCATAACGATATCTTAAACTGCTGGTCAATGTTCATCTCGCTCGCATGTTGAATTAAATTACATAGAAAAAATTAAATGAATTTCTTTATAAGGGATTAATGCATCTTGTTCGCGCATTTACTTTTGGGACTTTAGCGGATTTTTATGCATGAAAAAATGCAATATCACTATTGTTACATAAAAATAAAATGTAATAAGGTAATTTCGCCTTTAGTAATTTTTCTCATGTAAGGAAACACTTTGCCATGCTTTCCACGCGCTTGTGTGATGTCTTTTAACTGTTATATATTGATAATGAATCTGTCAGGGCTGTCATTGCAGTACATGTAATTGAGTGGCGTCCGTCCACTATGACACAAGCAAGTTAGCCGGGATCCTTTTACCCTTAACCTAGAAACAGATTCTTGGCATAAGACCTGGCGCCGAGTTGCTCCATGCCGGGAACCATGCTGTGTGACAATGACAATCACTCCTTATTGTTAACATTTCGATCAAATTTAATAGCATAAAGAAAATCAGAAGACGAAATTTTGTCACATGATAATTAACATATTCAATAGACACGCAAACGTCAATTGTCTGTCCATAAAGTGGTAAAGTTTTCATATTCAGGCAATGTTAACGATACAAATTATCTGACAGGATTTTGATAAAACTGTTTGAGAAGTACAAAGCCCCCGCTTCTCAAAATTTCTAACTTTAATATATTTTCAATTTTACGGATACTCAGTTTTGTCATTTATCTCAAATGCATCATGACGTTTTAAGAAGCAATATTTTTCATTAAACATCCATGGCGACTGTTATTTCCTGCATTGTTTACTATTAAGTCGCCTGGTCTTATTTCAAAATATATTTTCCATGGTTAAAACTGTCATATCCATTTCATATATTGAACATGGTAAGGGTCAAATTAAAATGATAATATATTTATTTTCAGGCCCATTACAGTAAATTTTAACAATGTAATAAATTAGACAACAGCATAGCACCGCTAACTAGTAAAGTATAATCTATATGGTTAAACCGAAATGACGGGCCTCATTATATATAGTTTCACATTGGATGCACATGTTGCGGTACATATATAGACATATAAAATTAAAGTCTCGGGATGTTCTTATTAGGATCCGTAAAATATTTGATTAGTTTTGTTGTTAGCTTTTTCAAGATGAAACGTGGGCGCTGTGTATTATCTATCTTGCTTATTCTTGGGCTTCTGATTAAACATGCTCGTGGTCAGGCCACCCCCGACTCGGTAGGTTTTCATTTAAATTCTGCAAATTTCTTGATATAATCTTAACATTTTATAAATTAATTAGTCAATGATAAATTATAACTTGACGAGAGCATTTGTCTGTATATAAATTGCTGTATGTCACATAAAGTTTTTACTATATTATTTTTTCCATATTAATTTTATTTTAGTTTATTCATCTACATGTATTCATTTTTGTACGTTATTAGCATTGTAAATGAAATGTGGATTTATAGAAAACATAAAAGCACTATTATAAGTGTCATTAGTTAATGAAGGAAATAGTATTCTAATGCAGGTATATGTATTACAAAAGGTTTTAACTTTCCCAACTACCCTACCCCTTCTACTTGTGCTGTGTTAAGTAAATGTTCGTCTTCCTCTAATATTAATTTTTTTAAAAATTTGACACTTTCATCCTCTTTATTCATATTCCAATTTGAGATCTTTCAAATATTCAAACATCTGATTTAATTACTCTTATTTATATATACATGTTTAAATATATTTACTTATTATTATATTACCACATTTTTCAATATTGAAATATATGAAATATCAAATATCTAAAGCATGAAATAACATTTCTAAAATTCAGCAATAAAAACGGTTATACTACTACTACATATTATTTGCAATACACAGAAATAAAAAATAATTTCTTTTTCATCCAGCTGTATAACATTTGTATGTATACATGTAAACCTCTTTTTATCTAGAGTATAATTATGAACAAAAGATTAAATACATTTGAGATACGCTATACTATAATATATATTTATTGACCAATTTGAATATATAATTGCTTAAAATTCAACTTTTAGGTCATATCTCAATTGTAGATAACAAGGTATCATTATTTTTTAAGAAAAGGTATATGCATTGCCATTGATCATTTGCAGGGAGGAAAATTGAGAAAAAAATCACTTTAATTTTGTAACTTCATTGTGATATCAGAAGGAAAAAATATGAATGAATGAATGAATGATTACATAAATGAATGAATGAACAGACGAACAAGCAAACAAACGAGTGAATGAATATATAATGAATGAATGGAAATGTAAAATGAATTACAAAATGAATGAACGAACAGACGAACGAACGAACAAACCGAGTAGTTAAATATTTTCTACGACAATGTGCAATAGTGGTTAAATAATAGTGCAAAATATGTGGCACCGCGGAAGCGCATTCAGTTTCAATTCAAGGATTCGAATGGAACAAGGTTTTACTTCGTAAAATATATATATCAGCCGCGTCATGACAAAACAAAAATAGTGCGTTTGCGACCAGCATGGATCCAGACCAGCCCGCGCATCCGCTTAGTCTAATCAGGATCCATGCTGTTCGCCTAACAACTCTAATACAAGTAGAGATACTTATAGCGAACATCATGGATATTGATAAGGCTGGTCATGATCCATGCTGGTCGCAAACGCACTCTGTTGGTTTTGTCATGGCGCGGCTCATATGTATTTAAAAGCTTATCACTTTACACACATCATAATCGATGTGTTTTATATTTTAAGGTCCAGACGGCAGTGTTGGCGAACGCGGCAGCACTTAACACCATACTATTTACTACTTTTCCGGTAAGTCCACGTCATATTTTTGTTTGTTTGCTTCTTTCTAATTTGTATGTAATTCAAAATACTCAATTAAAATAAACAGAGCATTATCTGGTGACTAATGACACCCGTTTACCGGTTGCAGATACAACAGCTGGTTGCGAAACAGGATTTGCACTTGACCGATTGCTACTAAACATATTATATAAGGTTAAATCTATAAAAATCCATAAAAAATCGATACTATTTGATCCAATAATGAATTCTTTTGGAACATTGCAAACACTGAAATGCATTGCTTATATTTAATAACGAGTGAAATGAAGTAAATTTTATACATGCACAGTTAAACATGTTTAATTAAAATGGCCTATCTCATAGTAACGCCACATACACGTATGTTTGCTTTCTGATAATTATATGTTTTATATATTACTGGCGACTTTTTAATGAGAAGGATCTGGAAGAAATAGCAAATGCAAAACTCGAGCAAGTTTCCTTGATACCAATGAATGTGTATAACATTTAAAAGTTGTCATATAAGTTGGAACAGCATCCTTCAGTGATTTTAAAGTATCTTAACATAATTGACAATTTCTGAAATGGCTTGAGATAACATAGATTTTTTTGTGGTAAGCTGTATGTTGGTCAGTTAGTCTATCGTTTACTTACTGAACAAAAACAGCCAAAAAAAAAAAAAAAAAAAAAAGAAAAAACAAAAAAAACAAAAACATAAACCTTTTCTATTTTCAGACACTAATAGGAAATACTGCCAGTGTTATACCTATCCTGAATTCAGCCCAAGCAGCCGCCATAAACAACGCCTTTTTGTTAGCGCAATTAAACGGTCAGGCTAATCAGCTAGCTGCAGAATTGGTTGTGCTAACTGACGATTTAAATACTCTTGGACCTGCCGTCACTGCCCTAGGAGCAGGCGTAACCAATGTTGGTGTTACCATTGACGCTATACAAGTTCTCCAGACCATGATAACTAATAGTTTAGCTACTACGAGCACGAATGTAGGCAATTTAGAAAATGCTGTAGCTGCTAATTCACTATTAATCAACGGAATTGAAAGCAAGGCGTGTGCTTTGGATAAGACATTTGATGAGGTAAATGAAAATGTCAACAGACTTGAAATCACCATTACTGACACTAACATGCGGATTCAAGGAGTTGAAAACACTATCCATGGCATAAATGGATTTATTAACGCAATTGAATTACTTTTAACAAGCAATGTAGCTAAAATCGACTGGCTGAAGAAGTCTGCAGAAAAAATCAAAACAACTGCACATACTTTAATTGATCTTTGTCAAAGTATAACAAACAAGATCGACATGGTTAAGAATCAAATCGATGCTAAAAAGCCAGCACTCAAGCCTCTACTGAATGATATTGAGTCTAGCGTCGAAATTATTCATGAAAGTCGGAACTTGCTTGGCTTCTTCGATGAAAAAGTTAACTTTTTGACGGCGAGAGTTGACGTTCTATTCTTATCAAAAGAGATAACTCACATTTCCCACACAACCAATGCACAACTTGCAATACAAAAGGTTGCTTAGAAAAACAAATAACTGTTGAGCTATACATTTGTGTACTAACACTGACATTCGCAACTTGTTGTTTAAGATTTTGGTAGATTGCTTGGTTAAATGTTAAATAAATAATACAGATATATATTTATTTCTATATGTAATTAAAATAAGAAGGGCGGGTAAAAGTAACCAAGATAAGTTTAAGATCACGCAACACTTTTAAGTTTTCCTGGTTTTGGAAGACCTCAAATGATACATTATGCATTAATTTACGTTAGTAAAACACCAACCAACCGTAAGCTAGACGGCTACTCTTTTCACGCGTAGATATAAGCTAATAGTTAACCATTCTTTTGTTGAAAGCCCTCATTTGTTTCCGAAAACTACCGCGCCTACCTCCCCTCAAAAACCGCCCCTACTTTTGAAGAAGAAAGAAAAAAAGTAAACAGGTATAGTATGCCAATCATTTCTATTGTATTCGATTATGGTAAATTAAATGCTTTCTTTTGGAAACATATTCACTGGAAGAATAGAATATTAATTCTTTAAGGTTTCCAACACGACGATGTAAAGAAAATTGAATTTTGACATTGTAAAAAGGAAGATAATAAGAAAGAGAGAGAAACATCGCTTTCATTCAGCACACATTACAAAGCTTATAAGATAAAAAATATCTATCTATTATTATCTAGTCAAAATTTGGCATTGTAATCAAAATAACTTTATGTAACAGAAAACGTTCAATGACCATATGAGTGCATTATGAATAATGTAGCATATCAATGTAAACATGCGTTATTGAAGGGAAGTTATTAAATAATTAATAATTATATCATTGACATAAATAATGAATTTGCATCAATAAAATAACTTGATAAATTAATTAACATTTCAAGACACAGTAAATAAGACCAAAATTGGTTAAGTCTCTCAATGACGATATATAATGAAAGATATATTGAGGTGTTTGTAAGAAAAAATATTAAAAATATTTAATAAAATATAAAACACTTAAGCATATCATCATTAACTTTATCCAATGACAGGATACTATGTGCGTCATTCTGGGTCTCAGAATGTCAGGAAGGTGAAGGTTGTGAGATTATAAACCAATGTGTTTTTGCAAAATGCCAGCAATGCTGTTCTGTAGTAAATTGGCTAAAAGGCTAGTTGCAACACTGATATTCAATTCAATGTTCATTTGGCTTAAACAATTTCAAAGATAAATAAAACACAATTTGAGTTGTATTAACTGGGTTTTGAACCCAAGACATCTCGCTTCCTAAACGAGCGTTTAACCCCTAGACCACAAATCACAATTCTAAATTAGCGTTGGAATCCTGATTAATTTCGAGATATTTTGTTCACGGTAAATGTAAATAATCGTGGAGATTAATATAACCATGTATATCTGTTGAAATAATTTAGCAAAAATCTTCTCACATGTATAAAAGTTTCACTACCTTCGGTGTACGCGATGAAGTGTGGCAAAAATAGCGCTTTGTTTACGAAAATTATATTATCAGGTATAGTCTGATTTTATTGACCTGTCAATTATGAATACATTATAGCACTCATTTAAATATTCGATCCCACTTCGGTTTTGACCGTTTATTTTACGAGTGTATAGCATACTGTTTATAAAACTCCCACTAGCTTAATGTAGGTTCTCGTAACATCAGCAATAGCACAGCCGGTTAAGTTATTACCTTATGTATGAGACGTCCGAGGTTCGATCCCTTCTTTTGACATTCTTTTTAGACGTCACTTATTTTTAGACCTTTTTTTCTTTATTTTTAAGTATATTATAATGAAAATGGTTAAGCGCTTTCAGAATTTTCTACGCAGATATAAAACATTTAAGAAACAATGAATTGTAACGTTTTGTATTGTATTTTACGGCACTGAAATGACATTTATAAATCCGAATGAAGTTTGAATATTAATTCTTTAACAATGTTATATACAAAAGTATAGTATTTACAAAAAAGTGCAAGACATATTAAAAACAGAAAGAACAACCATAATTTCAAAAATGTTGAAAATAGTTATGAACATTAAAAAATGCCTGGATATACGCTGTCTCGATCTTACAACACGTAGGACATTTAGAAATTATATACCCGTAGTTTCCCTTATTGCTCTATACTAACGCAGAAACCAAATGGTTTTAATCATACCTTACTGCGTAAATCTCACGGAATTTACCGAACATTTATCGAATATTAATAAATTTTGTGCATTGACCGTATAATCAGTATGGAATTGACAGGTTAATAAAATCAAACAATACGTTACTTATGGTAGAAATTCATTATCGATCGTCGACCCTGTCCTAGAGTCAACATCCTAGCTTACTTTATTTTTCAGACAGTCTACATAACAAATGTTCATTTAGGCGATCACTATAATCGGAAGCTTTACGAGCAATTTTTAATGATTAAAATGATATTCATTCGCGTAACAAAATTATTTGAATTTATTTTATGCTTTTTCAGTGGATTACTGATTTATCCGTGAAAAATTATATTTGATAATTTCACAGTGAAAATTATCAAAATATAATTTCACACTTTTCAAAGATGAGACTACTTTTTTAAGATTTCCCCATGCGGTACCTCAATTTTATTATTGTTGACAATTCTGGCATTGTCAGGGCTATTTAGAGAAAAGCAAAGCTGAAATTGATAAATAACTGTAATTTCAAAAGAAATCAAAAGAAGAAAACTTACTTCTATTCATTCAATTTACCAATCACCAAATATCGTTATATAAATTTTTGTTTCAGTTTACAGTCTGAAAAATACAATTCCTTCCACATGCAGAACTACTCGTGATGACATTTGGGCATAATTAAGTATCATACGAGCAATAACTGCCTAATAGCTTGAATAGCAATGACAGACATCAGCCCGAAGAATAAAAAATAACCCAGCGTTCGTAAGTTTGTAAGGCAGCCTTTCAAAAAGTCCATGTGTTCCAATTCCCTAGTCGTTTTATGAATGTTTACACATCTGTCAACACTTATTTATTGTCAGTAACAATCCTCAAAAAAGTTTTCTTTCTTTTAAAAGATGTATGACTAACAAATCCAAATGATATCCCTCTGAATCAAACAAAATAATTTTCCTCCCATGAAATAAACAACGTTTAAAAATGGCTGCCGTTTACATTTCACAGAGCCATGTCTGATTTAAATTCGCCGTAAGTAACAGAAATATGGATGGATGGTTGGAATTTCCTCTTACTAGAATTATTTGTTTTTATAATTAAAACAAGCGATCTTTCATATTATTTGAATAAAATGAATAATATCATCGCCATTTAACGTTGATTGGCGAACTTATTTTTCAGCCCAAGACTTCGTGTATTTTATGAGAAATTCGACTTAAGAGAGGCTACAAATGGGGAAAACAGATTTCAATGTTAAAGTTAATATCGAGGAAAATTCGTTTTAACTTGTTTTAAGCATAAAATAAAAAGACAATTTGTTTGTTTGTTGTGTTAGATGTAATTTTATTTCATCTCGTGAACTTTAAAAAAACAGTATTCTCACTCTTTGCTACGCCACCCGTGAGAATATTATTTTTGACACACAAACAAACAAATATCCTCTATATTTTACTGGTAATTTGTGGAAATGTTAAAGAATAACACATTATTTGATGTTTTTCAGTGGATTACTGATTTATCCGTGAAAATTATATTTGATAATTTCACAGTGAAAATTATCAAAAAATAATTTCACACTTTTCAATGACGAAACTACCTTTTTTAAGATTTTCATCATGAGGTACATCAATTTCATTTTTGCTGACAACTCTGACAATGTCTGGCTGTTAAGAGAAAAAACAAAGCTGATATTATTAAATAACTTAAATGTCAAAAGTAATAAAAAGAAAACTTACTTCTATTCATTCAAATTACCAAATATCATCTCTATTTTTGTTTTGTTTCATTTTTACAGTCTGAAAAATACATTCCTTCCACATGCAAAACTACTCTTGATGACATGCGGGCATATTTAAGTATCCTACAAGCAATAACTATAACTGCTGTATGCTTTATGAAAATATGCAAAGCAATGACAGCCATCAGCCCGAAGAATAAGTAAACTACACAGCGATTGTAAGGCAGCCTTTCAACAATTCCAAGTTTTCAAATTTCCTAGCCGCATTTTGAATTTTTACACATCTGTCAACACTTATTTATTGTATGTTACAATACTCAAATATGTTTTCTTTTTTAACAAACTTTAGGGTATATGACTAACAAATCCAAATGATATCCCTCTGAATCAAACACAATTATTTTCCGCCCGTGAGATACACAAGTTTTAAAAATTGCGGCCGCTAACATTTCACAAAGCCAGGTCTAATATAAATTCGCAGTAAGTAACAGAAATATGGATGGGTGGTTGGAATTTTTCTCCTACTACAATTGTTTGTTGTTATTGTTAAAACAAGCGATCATTCATATCTTTTCATAAAATGAATAATATAACCGTCATTAAGAGTTGATTGTCGAACTTTTTTTTCAGCCCAAGACTTCTTGTAATTTAATAAGAAAAATAACTAAATAAGGCTCCCAGTGGGAAAAACAGATTTTAATATTAACGTTTATATTAAGGAAAATTCGTTTTATCTTGTTTTTAGCATGAAATAAAAAGAAAATTTGCTTGTTTGTAATGTAAGATGTAATTTATTTCATCTCGTGAACTTTAAAGACAGTATTCTCACTAATTTCATCTTACACACAAACAAACAAATATCCTCTATAAATTAGACATCTGAGACAAATCGGGAACTTTTTTTCTTCCCTGAGAAGGTTTGAAAATAAATGCGCCTGTCTTTGACAATCTATACTTTGTGACCTCCCCTTAACTGTTCGGCGTAAGTGTACTTATAAAGGGAAGTAACCGCTTCGAGGAGTTTGTAACGGACTACTTGCATATTTCGCAAATAAGCATATCAGTGTCTGAAATTTCGCTACCATTATTTATTTGGTCTGAGGACCCAAACCAATAGAAATCGTATTTTACAT